TAATAATACATAAGACACTGGAGTTTATTAGCACAAGAGAGGGAAAGTTTACCTGTACAGCTGTCGTCACGCTGTTGGAACGCTGAAACCTTCGATATCTAACCGTCAGGGAGACACAAAGAGGAAACAGTAAACAGCAGGGACGGCTGCAGTGTTAAACCCTCCATAACATTTACAATACAGATGGAAAAGATAAGAAAATGACGGTCGAAACTGATTGTTTCACATTTTGGTGAAATCTAAAGTAGCATCAGAACCAAACAGTCACCTGATAAAAAACAACAGAATGCTTCTAAATGACTTTTTATTTATTTATTATAAGTTGAGTGATTGACAGGTGTTAGGTCACACCCCATTGACATTTGGGCCAATCCTGTTCAGACAAATGAGTTAAGCCAACAAGTGTGTTTGTAACATGACGTCCTCAGACCACAGATTATAGGTCAGATTACTGACAGAGCAGTGGTTAGCATTAGCATCAAAGCCCTGATTCTAAACCTAACTTTAACTCAGTTCACATATTAGTCCTAAACCAAACCCCTGACCCACCAACAACATTTCCCCCAATGGGGACCAGGCTTTTGTCTCCATTAGCAACAGTGGGTCTTCACCAGGCTGTGTGTACCAGGAAAATGGTCAAAAATCATCCTCACCAGGTGGTAAAAACATGTACATCACACACACTACATCCCTGTGGGCCTAATGTTAAACTGAGCTGTCTTTAAAATGGTAAATGTCTTGAGCTTATATAGAGCTTTATCAAGGGCCCATGGACTCCACAGCGCTTCAGTCCTTCACACATTCACACACTGATGGTGCTAAGCTACATTGTAGCCACAGCTGTCCTGGGGCACACCGACAGAGGCAGGGCTGCCATGCACCCGTGCCACCGGACCCTCTGACCACCATCAGTAGGCAAGGTAAGTGAAGGGTGAGTGAAGTGTCTTGCTTAAGGACACAACAATTGAGATGGCTGGAATAGGGAATCAAACCAGCAACCCACCGGTTACAGGGTGACTCCACTAACCACTCTGCCACAGCCGCCCAAAGTTCAAAGTTAACCACACTGATGAAAACACATGTGTACTTAAAGGTGTCATTAATAATAAACTCAATTCATTTTTATCTGAAAATTTCTATTACAATATTCTTAATTTTTCGGGAGAAAATTTATCTTAGAATTATATTCTACAAAACTAAAAAAGTGTGTCAAGTCTATTTTTATAATAACTGTGTAATGTCCTGCATCTCTGCAGACTGTTGTTCTAATTATTGTAGGTTTACTTTGTTTTCATCTCCATAGTTGTCATCAAGCTCACCCTCTGTCATCCTCCACTTGTACCCCCACAGACTGGAATTTGGATGGATCCTCTGGATCTGGAACCTCCTCTGGTCCATCAACCTACAATCAGAAAAAATTTAAAACCAAAATGACAGAAAAGAACACACTGAAAAAATACTGAGTGTTAAATCAATCATTTGTCAAATACTTGTATTAAACTGTTATATTTGTATGTTGTAAATCTGTCTGAGTTACAGCCCTTTGTGTTGGACGATGTCTTTAGTTGTGACAACCTTCTTGAAATAGATTGGCTCTAAAGGTTCAGGCAAGTGGGTCCAAACCTCTAAAAGTTGGAGATAAGCGGCCCTCAGGGACCACGACTAGATATCTCTGGATTAAGAAGTAATACATATACGATCAATGGGCCTCATGCAAGAACCTTTCGTACGCACAGATTTGTTCTTAAGTTGTGTGTACGAGTGATTTAGGAGAATTTGTGGCATTCACCAATGTTTTCGTATTCTAAGATTTTTTTCAGATACGAACAAAATTCACGAGTGGTCCAGACCTGTCGTATATTTTACGAGTGGTCAGTCTGCTGTTTTCCAGATGGATTTTCCTCCCTAATCACTTTATAT